GAGAACAGAATAGACCCTGGTACCCCGTTCTCTTTCAGATACACATTATAGGAGGGCTGAGTGAATACAGGAGCATTATCATTCACATCAGTGATAGTTACTGGTATTATTTTTTGACTGGACAGAGGAGGGGAGCCAAAATCGGTCGCTGTTATCTGAACATTATATTCTGAGGTGTTTTCTCTGTCTAACGGACCGTTTGTAATCAGTGCGTAATTATTAGAAAAGGACGCTTTTAGAGTAAAAGGTGAATATTTAGGAAGCTGCAGGTTAACCTTTCCGTTTTCACCTGAATCTAGATCACGCACACTAATCAGAGCAAGGACTGTACCGCTGCGGGAGTCTTCTGGGACAGAAGCGGATTTAGAGGTAAGAACAATTTCCGGTGCGTTATCGTTTACATCTAAAACATCCACCTGCAGAGTGCAGCGACCCTCCATTTTAGGGAAGCCTTTGTCTTTTGCACTGATGTCTATTCTATAAGAAGTTTGAGTTTCGTGGTCTAATAGATTTTTTAAATACACATCACCAGTCACAGCATCTATATGAAATAAGGATAGAACGGAGGGTGGTGTGTGTACACCAAGAGAATATTCTATTTCTCCGTTTGGACCTTCATCAATGTCTGTAGCTTTAGTTGTAATAATAAAAGAACCGTWCGCGCTGTTTTCTTTTACAGCAACTTTATAAACACTGCTTTCAAATTGTGGAATATTGTCATTAATATCAAGCACAATTATTGTAATTTTTGAAGTCCCGGTTTTTACAGGATTACCTCCATCCATAGCTGTGAGGAATAAATTATGTTTTGCCTTTTTCTCACGATCTAATGATTTATTTAAAACAAGCTCAGGTATCTTCTTTCCGTTTTCAATTTCCTTAACTTTCAAAGAGAAACACTCATCTTTGCTCAGCGTGTAAGTCTTTAACCCGTTACTCCCAACATCAGGGTCCTCTGCCATCTCTAAAGGGAAACGGACACCTACAACGGTGGATTCAGCTATTTCTATCACGTGATCGCTTTTGAGAAAGGTGGGCGCGTTGTCRTTCACGTCTCTTATTTCCACCTCCATTCTGTGCAACTGCAGCGGGTTCTCCACTACGACCTGCAGCGGCAGAACGCAGCTGGCGCTTTGTCCGCATAAAGCCTCTCTGTCTATCCTGTCATTCACCAGCAGCTCGCCCTTCCCCGCATCCACGCTGAAATACTGCTCACCAGCCTCAGAGGCGACGCGCAGCTTACGGTCAAAAACATCAGAGAGTCCCAAACCCAGATCTTTGGCGAGATTTCCAACCAGGGAGCCCCTCTCCAGCTCCTCCGGGATGCTGTAACGAGTCTGTCCGTTTATTATATTCCACAGGAGGAAAAAATGCTGCCACCAGAGCGCGAGCCATCTCCAGTCTCTGTATTCCATTGTCTTTTTCATCCCCGATCCGTCACTGCGCCGAGATTTCCATCAAATAATTATAGAATWATCAGACCAATATAAAAATCCGTCAAAGGCGAGCCTGCCGCAATCCAGCAAAAATAATTTTTACGCATCCTGAAACCTACATGAAATACTGTTAGAAAGGATTGGGCTGTTCAAAACGAGACATCCTCTCCTTTCCGTCTGAAAGCAAWACACTGGCAACTGTGCTGAGAACGGAGGGGGAAGGAGTAGATCTCTTTGTACAGCACTGAGTGCCATTGGAGCTGCGCAACCACAACCCAAACCAATGAGACTGAAATAGGGGCGAGGGAGAGCAAGCACTGCCATATAAGATGAGAAGAAATTCACACAAAAACCAGCTGACAAAGACATAAAAAAGGCAAATAAAAAAAGAAAAAAGACCACACTATGATTTTTTTAAAATTCAAACAAAAATAAAAGCTGTGAAAAAAAATAAAATAAAAAGGAAAAGCAAGTTGTAACCTGCTAAGCCCTAGGGTTTTTAGAGGTAATTTCCRCCTGAAAATACACAGCAAAATAAAGCAAGAATAGCTCCACAGTTATAAGGTCTAAATGCTAACTCTTGGTACCTCTGTAAAAGTAAGATCTTAAAGATAATTTCTTAAGTGAAACCACTATTGTAACTCTTGCTATGCCTGAGTTATTTGTGATTAAATAAAGAAAAACTGTAATTATTTTAGCCTCGCCTAATTTTTTTTAAATCAATAGTGCAAAACACAATGAAAATTCTTGTGAAAACACAGGAATGCCCTTAGATTATAGACATCTACATCTTGAGAAAAATTGTAGCATAGTAGGGCTGAATAATTTGAAGTATATTCATTTCACAAAGGTTTAGGTGAGCAGTGTGCCAGGCGAAAATGGCATTGTGGCACAATTTAGCCAAACGTACCCAAAACTGTGCCAAATGGGTTTTTTACTTTATAAAAGAGAATTTAGTCTAGTAAAACTGTTGATTTCTATTTTAGGACTCATTCTACATATAACATAARCTTTTCTTTTTACATTTAAACTGTGCATAATCAAAATCTACCATTGTGCACACCTTGAAATCACTGAATGGAACTTAACTCCGCCTCTACGTTTTACGCATGAGGGCTGTTAATTATACACTCGGTTACGCACAAACTTCACGTCACCAAACAAAGAGTAACACWGTGTCAAGAGAAATCCATGAATGGTGAGAGCTTCGTCTTTTCAAAGATACCAAAGATGCGGATAACTTCTAGATACTGAAACGGTCCGCGACGGTTCAAATAACTTACAAATGTTTATATAGCTCTAAAATCATAAATATTTATCCAAATATAATTTGGCGACTCATTAAAAAATAGACACCCTTTTTGACGGACTTAGAAAAAATTTGGGAAAAATAAATTTACACCTACTTTAKCAAACAACAATGAATGACACCATCTGCTGGCCCTGTACAGGGCCCGTCGGACTTGTAAAAACCGTAAATATACATTTATATATTACTCTCAGAGTGATATATCGCACATGCGGACCTTTTTTTATTTTAATAAACCATTTTTTTCAAACACAGAGTGACCTTTGTAGTGGTGTAAAAATTCTAAAATGGTTATAAAACCATGACAATTGTGACGTGTTTTAAGTCACAATTGTGACATCAAAGACTGACAATCCGAATAATTCTCAACCTTYTTAGCTCACAAATCCTTGTCATTCTTTCATAGATGCACGATCACATTCATATTGTTTCAGCTCAATGAGTGAAAAAAGACAAACATGTGCTGCTGAAAAGATTATTTCATATTATTTCAAACTAGTAAACAAAGTTATAAAAATTAGTTTACCAGAGTCAAAGTGACAAAAAAATGAGTTGCACTTCCTGCTCACCTGCTGGCTCTCAAAGGTCCAGGTGCTGTCAGGTAAGGACGCATCCAGAACACTGATGACTTCTTTAAAGTCTGTGGTGCTGCT